GAAAATAAATGTTTCAGATCTGAAAGTCTGAAATCTTGACGAGAGATGGCGCTACGCCTAAATGATCGCCATTTTGGTTTGCGAATATCGCGCAAATAAAAACAATAAAATATTCCAGTCAAATTACTGTAACAAAGAATCTAAAACACAATATTACACATATATAGGTATGATTGTAGAGTTGTTGACCAGTTAGACGAAATAAACGTAATAGGACGTTGTCATCTCTCCCATAGGAGTAACAACTGTTTTGGGTCTAGCCTTACACATTCACATACTAAAATTTAACAAAATCGAATGAATTTAGATGGCCATTTTCATTTTTGCCAAAAAGTGGGCATGGCTCAAAAGTAGGTCGAGTGGCATGCTACAAAATAGGAAGATCAAATCTCTCCCATAGAAGTAACAACTGTATATTCAGTTTGAAACATGTGGGTCAAACTGTTCTTAAGTTATCCTTGACCGTAGGCAGACACTGAAATGCATAGTGAAATTGCCAAAGTCTACCTAATTTGCATAATAAAAAAAAAAATCAAAACCTGTGTGATATGTTTTGGGGCCAGTCCTCATTCATTCACATACCAGAAATTAGCAAAATCCATTAAACCTGAACTGACTTATAGCCATTTCCATTTTTGCCAAAAAGTGGACGTGGCTCGAATGTAGGTCGACTGGCGTGCTCCAAAATAGGACGTTCAACCCCCTCCCATAGGAGTAACAACTATATGCAATTTGAAACATGTGGGTCAAACGGTTCTTGAGTTATCGTTGACCGTAGCCAGATGTTGACGGACAGACGGACGGACGTACGACGGACGCACCCCATGGCAATAGCTCATCTTGACGATGTCAAGGCGAGCTAAAAATGGACACTCGATATGATGAAGGAGGAGCTCGAGAAAAAGAGAAGAGAAGAGAAGCTCAGAGGAAGCGCAACCACGCTGACATACTATAATCGAAAAGTATGCTGCAAAACAAACGGCCCTCTCCTTCGTTGGTCCAGCCCCTTGAAGATTAATCTTCTTTGAGGTTAAATAAGCACAACTGTAAACAATACGTGCACCGACTCTTGTCGGGAGTGCATCAATTCTGGCACCACCTGCAGGTTTTAAATTTAATCTCTCTTTGTCAAAAACTTACACCAGGCAGACAGAGGTTGCCTCCCTCTCTAATGAGTAAACACATGAGCATCTTCTTCCCGTCCATATACACGAAGTCTCTCGTGCCCTCTCTTCTTTTGAACCTGGGACAAACCGCACAGTTGTCAGTTTACGCTTAGCCTACTTCAGTATCAAGCTGACATTAATCACTGTAGAGAAGGAAGTAATACACAGATCCTATAGGCTATTCATAAACTGGCTTGCCTACTTCTGTTATACGTTATACGCAGATTCAAATGCATGCCTGAAAATGTACATGTATCTGAATGAATCTATCAGATGTATCAGATGTATATATATCTGAATGAATGCTATTTCTATCTTTGCAGATAACCATGGTCATTGTTAAATAAACAAGTGAGAAATAGACAGCGTTCTTATTTAATATCCGTGGAATATTGAGTGCATGAATAAAACTCATTGGGTACCTCATTACCTGGTAATTACCATATCCACCCGATGATTGGGTCCCCAGAAACACAGCACTCCTCTACCTCTCACACCTGTACGGCCCCATGGATTCCTGTTCAAAGGCAATAACAAAACAATAGTGAGAGGCTGAATTCTGAGATCTGTAACTTCCTTGTAGCTTGTTATTGATACGATACTCTACAGGTGGGAATGCCCTGGTAATAAAACATGCCATGGTGTCACCCTATATCAACGACACATACATAACATGAAGCGGCTAAGTGGTCCCGAAAACTATGTGTCAGTGTGAATGAAAAACTTTCTCTTGGAGAAAGTTGCAAACGAAATCTGCCTCGTGCCAACGCATAGCAATGAGCTCACATTCGTGTCTTGATGTCTGGCCCATCCCTAATCCTCCAATCTTATAGCAACTGCCAATAACCTTATCATTTCCCCCAATTTGGAGCTTCCCACACACTGCTTTCTCCTTGAATTTTCCCGCTCGGTGTTTCCCCCTCACCACTTTCCTCCTCGCCCCTTCCCACTCGCCCTTCCTCTTTGCCCCTTCCCGCTCGCTTCTTTCCCCTCACTCCTTTCCCTCGCCCTTCCCCCTCCCACCCTCGCCACTCCCCCTCGACCCTTCCCCCTTACCCCTCCCACCCTCGCCACTCCCCCTCGCCCTTCCCCTTCCTCCTCACCCTTCCCGCTCGCTCCTTCCCGCTCGGGATGCTTACCTGGGCAGTCCCATGACATCCACCTCGTATACACAGCGGCTTCCATCAGCGCTCACGATCCACGACTGTCGGTCGACGGTCACCCTGCGTCCGTTCACGCTCACCGACTCGATGGCATTCCACGCAAACGAGCGCGCGCTGTCGGCTACGACCAGCGAGCAGGAGTCGGAGTCGGAGTCGCTGTTCTCTTGTTCTACGATGGCGTCCACCTCCACGGCGCGATTGTGCTTCACTTCCTGTTCCCTGCGCAAATATACGTAATGCATAATTTTAATAAAATGCGCAAATACGGGGGAGGTACACAAAGACCCCCTATTAGCGTCGTTTCATGCAACGTTGTTTTGTTTTAATGTTATTGAGAAAAAATACCAATGTCACTGAGGCGTATATATTATGAGAATTAATCTATGTACTGAGTAAAATTTTACTCTTAATTTAACAATGGATGTTTGCTTAATTTATTCATATAAAAATGTTTGGAACTTAGGTTTACGTGCATTATCTTTGTTGGAAATGTGATCAGATCGCAGAGTGCTTGAGCGGTGTTCAGGAAGATAACTAAGAGAATTGGTGTTGTGTACACGTGCTACATTCTATACCCACGTACGGTGATAATACACATGGATCAGGTACTGTGAACAAACTGACGGAGCACATGTACTACGTACTATGCATATGTGTATGGACAGGGGTATTGTGCACATGTACTAGTACCCTACACATGTGCAGATAGGGCATTGTGTACATATACTATATTACATGTGCGTGTAAGTACAGGGTATTGTGTACAAGTTACCAGCAACAAGAAATATGTAAACGATAAATCTTGAATCTATATTCTGAGCACTTGTATCACTCTACCCAGATCTCGGCACTGTGTTTCTGCTGCAGCTTATACGAACACTCAGATAAATGATGCCTTTAAATGCTAATTCCTTACTCTATAATATCCGGGTCTACTAAAGAGCGTAGTTCATCTGAATAGGCAGAGGCAGGCTGGGAGAAGATGACTGGATCGTACAGAGAGTACTCGCTCTGCAAAAAAACAACCAAATGTTTTAATATATACATTAACCTACTTTTAATTAAGCACATAATTGGTAACATATCTAAGAATCATTACAGAAAAACTGCAGAACGGGCAGCTTGAATAGAATGCAGCGTATGTGCTTACGTTACCATATACCATATACTCCTGAGGTTGTAGGCAAAAACCTGAATATGGTTTGCATGAAATTAATCATAGCTGCTTGCACTGTGAGCAACATTTAACCACTGATCTGTTGACCATGACAAAAGTCCACGTTATAGGGTCAGGTTACACATGAGACATACGAGTGTGCGTGTGTCCATGCATGCTCCTGACCATGACATGACCTCAACCCTGATAACAGAAGGCCAATATATGTATATATATATATATATATATATCTATACATATATATATATATATATATGTATATATATATATATATATACATATATAAGGATTACTTACAGTCCATGGAACATATTTGTCGAGCACGGGATATTTGGGTAGATCCGTGAAGGGGTAGGGTGACTGTCGGGCAAGCACATGAACATCAAAGCCTCGTTTACCAACTATGCCGGCCACACCTGTAATGAGATACAACCTCCATCGATATGTCATCATAATAACCCTAATTACTGTTATTTCAGCAAGTATTTCACCGTGATCAATTTCATTCACGTGTGCGCATGTGTGTGTGTGCGTGCGTGTGTGTGTGTGTGTGTGTGTGTGTGTGTGTGTGTGTGTGCGTGTGCGTGCGCACGTGTGTGTTAAATTCATATAGCAACAATGATCAATTGAAACGTACACTGGACATTAGCTTGTAAAACTTTGCTATAAGGATAGCAGGCAATTCTTAATAATATACTCGGGATATCCCGGCACTGTGGTCTTATCCATGAAACTGCCACCAGATATAGTTTAGTGAAACAAACGGCCAACAGATGGCAGTGCACGCTGAGTTAATGTCCACCTTTCTGCTCCAATAGGTGATGTATGTTCTCGACATGCATTCTTCCATTGAAGACAGCTCTCTCAATCTCCACTAGCCTGTCCTTGACTCTACGCAGACTAGTCTTATGCATCTCTAGTAATTCCTCCAACACCGCGTTGCTGAAACAGGAGTGGCGATCGTTACTAGTACAGTAGTATAGATGATAGATAGGTGACACACACATGAAACTTTTACACAGGTTAGTAACAAGCTGTTTTTTTCGGACTGGTTCTCCAATGCAGTACAGATGATCATATTTTCGTATTTTCTCAATTTTGGTCATTCACTAGTAATCACCAAAGATACGAGAGTGCTCAGCAAAGAGTCGACTGATGGTCAGAGTAAAGGTCGGAGTGAAGGTTGTAGCAAACCGCAGCGTGAGAGAAAGTGAGGGTAGAGTAAGTAGAAGCCAGAAAAAAGTATCGGAGTGAAGACTGGAGTAAAGGTGGCAGTGGAAGTGGGGAAAAAAGCTGGAGTGAAGGTCAGAATGAATGTAGAAGTGAAGATCGGAGTAAAGGTCACTGTGGAAGTCACCCTGACAGTCGGAGTAAACGTATGAACGAGGATAAAGGTGAAGATCGGAGTAGAGATGGCAGTGGAAGCGAGAATAAGGGTTGGAGTGAAGGTCAGAATAAAGCTAGGAGTGGTTGAGAGGAGTAGTCTCACAACACTCCCCTATAAACACATGCCAGTACGAACACCAGCAAACACACCTTACGATTAGCAGCTTACAAAGCTCCCACATGAGACGTTTACGCTTATCAGGACGTACCTGGCATCCTTGTTGGTGGATGCGACCATCTTGCTTCCAGCCTCATCTTTCTTTAGCCAGCAACGATGAGCACACATCTTCCAGTAGCTATAACTCAGCGCTTCACGCCTTTGCAGCTCTTGCATTCCCTGCGATTTATAGCCACAGACAGACAGTTAATGTCACCATCACAGACACGAACGCGCAGGCGCACGCACACATGCACACAGACACATACTGCACGCACGCCCGCATGCACGCACGCACACACGCACACACACAGACACGTACCGTATGCATACATGCACGCTCAGACACACATCGTACACACGCATGTACACAGACACGCACTGCATGCACGCACACACGCATGCACACACACAAGCTGTTTAAATCTTAAGATTCTATAAAAAAAAACTGCGACGGCCGCACTAAATCAACACAACCCGCTAACCAACAATCACGACGAAACGTGCCGACAGGAAGTGCTTACGTGGGGAATGTCGGCCGCGCGACAGGTGCAGCAGAGCTTCCTGTAGATGAACTCTAGAGTCATCAGCACGTAGCTGATGACCGTGAACGGCGGCGGCAGACGCAGGCGGTTGGAGAAGTCGATGACGAGACTGTAGCGCTGGTAGAGCCAGATCTCGTCTGCTATCGGCTGGATCTTCTGGTTTGTGGAGCTGCAAGGGAAGAACATACAATAAAATATATATAATATAATATAATATATATTCTATTCTGCACGGAGATAAATCTCTACAAAGCAATGTACAGTGTTATGCTGGAGATGTTCCTAAGAGAGTATATGTTAGTACTCTGCAGGGACACAAGTCTCTCTACAAAGAAATGTACAGTGGTATGCTACAGATATTCCTAAGAGAATGTGCGAATATTTTGCTGGGATGAGTGTCTCTGTATATATAGAATCAGACATTTTTCAGAGTAGAATATTAATCTGCTGGTATGCAGGTCTCTCCATATATAGTAGGGCATGCCTCTCAAAATACGATAACACTCAGCAGAATTAGTCTCTCTCTCTCTCTGCTTAATCAGTTCGGTACTTCTCGCAGATGAGAAAAATGCACTAAATTGATGCTCTCCTCACAACAAATCAAATCTAATCTACAGATAGAAAACGCGATGATGACACAACTGACATTTAGACGAGTCAACAGAATATTCGGCCAACTACTCGCGTATGAACTTTTGACTCGAGAAGATACTTTTCACCCACCAATTGCAGACGATTAAATTCAGTATGTCTTAAACCCCGCGATGGTGGCAGCCTTAACCCAGCCCCTGCATTTACAGTTGAGAAGCGGCTGGTGTTAACGAGCACAACAAGTACCTGAACAGCGCAAACAGCAGAGTGACAAGGATCATCTTGCATATGATCAGGTAAGTGATGACTACAGCATACGACATGACTCCCGTGTGCGGGCAGGTATGGTCCGTGACTGCAACAGGAATAAAGAATGGATGAGACGCACGTACATACACTGTGAAACACGTGCACGCACATTCCCGTGGAGTTGCAAGATGGACACCCCAAGTCGATCGTAAAACATCTTTTAGCGCTGATAAAATTCTATGCACATCCCGCGAAGCTGCGTTTTTCTACAGGAGTGGGGAAAATGGATGAGACATACAGGTAGGTCCTGTTTTACGACAGGGTTGGGTTCCAGTAAAACAGGGTCGTAAAATGAAAAGACGTAAAACAAGAGCAAATTATAATGCAATTAAATGCTACCATCCCAACCACAATCACCATGAAAAACAAAAGAAGCGCATAATGCGTGTTTGGACTCACAGCCGCGTTGCTGCGATGTGTTACTGAGTTGCGATTTTTTTTGTTATTTATAAATTTTAAGGTAATTTTGAAAAGGTCGTTAATGTGAAAAGTCATAAAATGGACCATTATAAAATGGGACCTGCCTGTACCGTAAAACACGTGCATGCACATTCCCGTGGAATTGCAAGATTGAAAGCCCAAGTCGACCGTAAAACATCTTTTAACGCTAAGAGAATTCTATGCACATTCCGCAATTTAGCGTTTTTCTTCTAAAACCGTGATACAAATTTTAATGGCTCTACTTACACAAGCCCTGCACACATCTGTCTGGTCCGTACGACTCTGTCCTGGTGCACTGCTGACGACCTGCACAATAAAATCAAGCGATTATCAACTACATGACACAGAACCATCTACCGCTCATGGTACAATCAAAATTCCTAACGAGTAAACACACTGCATGCTATTCCTAATCCAACAAGGTCGAAGTTGCATCATGTGCGAAAGAAAAATTACGAATGAGGCATGCCTGGAGGCTCTCCCTCATTCACTCTTCCTTCTACGCAGGCCGTTGCCTCCACATCCACAGCTTCATCAGCTACTAGTTCACTCTACGAGACGTACTCGTGTAGTATGTCTCATCACGTACTATCCCGGTCTACACAGACCCACTGTACTCACCTTCGAGCTCACTGACCGGGGTTATGAAGAGGGAGAACCAGGCTCTGTGAAAGGCACTGCGGAACAGTTCTTCGTTGATGGGGAAGTCCGGGTAGATGACAGCGTGCATGACGACAGCTCCTCCGGCCATGAATATCAGGAAGACACGCATGAAGTCAAGGAAGTCGACGTAGACCTGCGCGAGAGCATCATACAGTGATTCGTGGGCCACTGCTCTGTGTGGATCACATCGAGTGGTAAGAATGAGCGTTGTTGTGCCAGTCGCTTGCACTACAAGCTTGATATCGACCCGTGCTATGGTACATAGTGTTGACGAATGCTACTACATCCACGTGTAGACGTGCCCATGTACATATACACATGTACAAACATGTGCGCACACACTCAAGCATGCTCAATCACAATTTGAACACCCACATGAAATGGATATGGATTTTAACCAATATCGACAATTTTGATATCAACAATTAAAAAATCATGTAATTTAATTCACAATGAATTAGGTACACAAGTGTATAATACAGTAATGTTATAATTGGGTATCCACAGTAAGAAATGTTCTCTGTGACAGGAAGAGTTACTCTCCTAACTTACCATGCGTCGAATGCGGACAAGCATGGGTCCCAGCGTCTGACTAATAGGTAGGTACGTTACTATCATGCGCATATAGAAGTACATGAGTCCTAGGCACATCACAACCTGCAGGGAAAGTGAAAATATACTGCCGGACAAAGCTATATTTTGTCATTCCGTGTTGACCTCGATCGGTCACTGGGCAATGACACGTAACCTTGCCTAAAATCCGACAACAGACTCAATTAAAGGACAGAGTCCACACGTGTGACAGAGCCACGTTACATTTTTCTCTCAAGCTGTACCGGATAAAGTCAGCACGCTGCTTCCACTGTTCTTGATTCACAGCACATTTAAGTGCTACACTCATTCGTTCATTCATGCATTCATGAATGATTGAACCCTGGTCATTCACATCCAAGGGCCCTTGTCAGCTACAAAATTAGTCTTAACATTAGTCTTAACATTAACTTTTTCTCATAGACTATAGACAGTAACATGGTAATTAAGTTTCTTACACGTGCATAGAGTTCCAGTCTGCAAGAAAAGGTTAGGACTAATATTTAAACTAGTTTTGTTTCTAACAAGGGGCTCTTGATGCTGTGACTACCAACAAACACCCGGAAGAACATACCTTCGCTGAGAACGGGTAGTGAAATCCAATCTCATCACTGAGTATTCGCAGAAGCAGGAAGGCGATGAGAAAAACGATGACACACACAATCTCTACAGACTTCAGGAACAGCGGTAATATCCTATACAGCTGAAATAACAACAACACAAGACCATGCAAATTCCCAACTGAATTCAGAATATCTTTTTTGTTGTTGACACAGTTCTTAGAGAATTTCAGCAAACTTGTTATTGCAAGCATCAACACCTACACAATCACATCTTACGGGACACGCATAAATTAGGTACAAATTTAAGCTACACTGAACAACATTACTGAGCAAATAGCTTCTATCCACACACTGACAGACATAGCAACAATACACTACATAAAATCAAAATGCCATTTTAATTAGTGCAGATGCCAGCACGTCTTAACCCAAGTAATTCTTAAATACAGTGCTGTTACCTGGCTCTACACTATACGTTACTAGAAGTGACCTATCACAGTACGACAAACATGGCCACCAAGAATGGTTCATATTCAACCAAATTCCCCACTCGGGTTCACACTGCTATATAACACACACTACTGAAGAAGTGACACGTCGCAGGATATCACACACTGCAAGGATGGTGGCTCTTATATACCCAGCAAAACACCACCCTAGTTCAGATAGACATACTACTACATTACACACACTACTACAGAAGTGATACGTTGCAGGATATCACACTCTCTTTGCAAGACTGGTGGCTCTTACCCAGCAAAACACCACCCTAGTTTACATAACCATACGACTGTACTACTACATTACACCCACTGCTAGCAGTAGCATTGATGTGACTCTATGAACAGGGGTGAGACGTTGCCAGCAACTCGCTTTCGGGCGACAGACCTTGTACTGCAGGTATGTGCGCCGAATGATCTCCATCAGGATGGTCAGTGTCCAGCCCCACACCGCTACGTCGATATAGAGGTCGCCACAGGTTGGCAGGATCACCGCATAGCTGAACAGTAGCAGGTAGAATACGTAGAACGTCTGCAAAGCACCGGCGCGACATGAAATGAGAGCTTAATTTAGATTATTACGTACTACATTAGTACATTAATTGAGATGTGGGCCGGGATCGTCACAAAACGCATGCACAACATATCTTCCTTAACAGTCAACCATTCTCTCTTCTTATCTTTGAAGAAGCCGTTGGCTTAATGTATTCACTGAATGTTACTACTGAAAATTTTGTTGACTGCCTTGGCTGTGAATATAGGTACGTCCTTACACCCGGTGTATGTCTGTTATGGAGATTAGGGGGGGGGGATTCATTTCACAGCTGCTTGTATATATAGGTGCTGACGCTATGACAGAACCTACCTGAAAGGTCCAGAATTTAGTCACAGGTGCTGACCATAACTTGTAGACTTTTCTCCAAAGTGGCAACCTTTGCTCACTTCTCTTTAACTTGTCCATGAAGTGGAACAGCGTCTTAAACAATAGAAACAGAACTCGCTACAACTCAGAACCTCAGCTGATGCACTCATGGAATGCAGCAACCAATTAGGGTTTTAAAACTAGTTACAAAACTAGTAACAAATTCTAGTCTGTCAAGCATTATGTAAGGAACTATTATCATTAAACATATGAATGCAAAATTAATGAGAGATACCTTTAGTAAATATTAAATGAAAGTGTCAATGACACTGTAGCTCACCACAAAAAAGGACACAAATGAGTGAGTAAGAAGAAGTCAGTTTTAATTGAGCAACCATCGACGTACATTATAGAAACGATTGCCATCTGTATATCGCAATAATAATTTATAAACCAAAATGAATCACAATTTGTGACCGTAGATGGCGCTATACCCGCTTTGTAGCGATGGCGCTTAAAATAAATAGGTTATGCTGCGTTCCGACATGTTTTGTAAATCTTTACTCTAATATAGACGTTTTATCGGCAGAGTGGAGAGGAAATACCAATTTTGCATTAAAGATATTGTCAATGAAATCTTGTAAAACGAACCAGACGAGTGTGACACCACAGACTGTTTGTGTTTATATAATATGCTATATAATTGCCAAACTCTACCTAATTTGCATAATTTTTTTTTTAAATATCAAAACCCCTAGCCCTTATTCATTCACATACCAAAAATGAGCAAAATCCGTTGAACCTGAACTGACTAATGGCAATTCCCATTTTTGCCAAAAAATTGCCGTGGCTCGAAAGTACGTCGACTGGCGTGCTTCAAAATAGGACGTTCCATATGAGAGCATAGCAGTAACAACTACACCCAATTTCAAACATGTGGGTCAAACGGTACCTGAGTTATCGTTGACCAAAACCAAAAATGTTGACGGACGGACGGACGGACGGACGGACGA